CCCCCCCCAGCTCCATTCCCCCACTCCTCAGCCCCACAACTCCAATCCCCTCAGCCCCAGCTCCACTCACAGCCCCACAGCTCCCCAGCTCTGCCCCTCTCAGCCCCACTGCTCCATCCTCTCCCTCCCCAGCTCCATTCCCCCACTCCTCAGCCTCAGCTCCAATCTCGGCCCCACAGCTCTCCTCCCATTCCCCCGTCCCTCTCAGCCCCACAGCTCCATCCTCTCTGCCCCCTGCAGCCCTTCAGCCCCCCCAATCCACCCCCCCCCTCCCAAGCTCAGCCCCGCTCCTCCTCCCCACACTGAAATCTCACGAAATCGAGCACCGTCACCCCATGGGACCGCAGGAACTCCGCGACCGTCAGCGACGGCTGCAGCACGAAGCTCTGTGCCAACAGCCGCGTCTCTTCTTCCTCCCCCTCCCCTTCCTCCCTCCCCTTCTCCTCCTCCTCCTTCCTCCCCCCCCCCATTTCTGCCTCGGGGCCCACGCTGAGCGGCGCCATTCCCACCACGTGCTGCGCCACCTTCCTGCCCACTGTCGTCGGGTCGGGGGTGACCCCCGGCTCTGTCACCTTGCAGGCCACCAGCGCCCCATAGCGACCCAGAGCGGTGTGGGGCGAGGGGGGGTCGCCAGGGGGGGGGGCCGTGGACATAGGAGGCGATGAAGCAGTCGGGGGGTACAGCCAGCAACGCGGCGCGGCGCAGCGCCATCTTCTCACCCATGGAGCCTGGGGGGAGGGGGGGGAGAACACGGGGGGGACATTGAGAGAGTTGGGGGTCACGGGGACACAGATGTGGGGACAAGGAGGGGACCGGGAGATTGGGGAGGAGGTTGGAGCTTCGTGATCCTCGAGCCCCCTTCCAACCCAACCGTCCTGTGACTCTGTGACACTGCCAGGGATTGGGGCGAGAAGGGCGCTGTGTCACGAGGGATGTTGGGGACACAGTGGGGACACTGCTGGACTGAGCGCCACAAGGAACAGAGCAGACGCTGCTGAAGTTTGGGGTGGGAGGGATGCAGCACTATGGGGAC